TATACAATACAATTTCAGACAAATAGTTGTACAATCTCTTCTTAAAAACCTCCAGTGTTGGAGCACCCACAAATTCTAGGGGCAAGTTGTTCCACTGATTAATTGTTCTAATTCTCAGGAAATTCCTCCTTACTTCTAAGTTGCTTCTCTCCTTAATTAGTTTCTATCCATTGCTTCTTGTTCTGCCCTCAGATGCTCTGGAGAACAGCTTGACTCCAGTGGTGGGATTCAAATTTTTATACTGACGGTTCTGTGGGCGTGGCTTGGTGGGCATGGCAGGGGAAGGATACTGTAAAATCTCCAATCAGAGGTGGCATTTGCCGGTTCTCCAAACTACTCAAAATTTCCACTACTGGTTCTCCAGAACTGGTCAGAACCTACTGAATACCCACCTCTGCTTGACTCCCTCTACTTTATGGAGGACCCTTAGATATTGTGAGACGGCTTTCATGTCACCCAACAAGCAGAGACGGTGAAGACTTAAAACAGTTTCCAACTATTTGCTCTCTCTGTAAGCAAATTCCTGAGTTCCATAGATCCTTTTCCAGCTTAGATTAAATCCAGGTCTACAAAATCACTTGTCCCTGTCCATGAAACGGATCTAGGTTGTCACAGCCATCTTTCCGTTTTTCAGCCTGCCGCATAGTATGAGGAGCGAGGGAGGGAAGACGCTTGGAATGTTAGACCCAATCAATAACAACAGGAACCAAGGTCATCTCAACAGGTGCTGGCCAAGGACTGGAAGGAGTTGCCAGGGAGATGCAAGACTATCTAATTGGACAATATGACCTGTGATAACGAGGGAGGGGAATACTAAAGTATACTTTAAGTATACTAAAACAGTATACTAACAGAAATAGTTAGAGCTGCTTTTGCTTTCATGCGTCCTGAAATGATGCACTCAATAAAACACTTCTTTTAATAATCTGATCATCTCGGACTGCTGACTCAGTTGGGTTCATCAAGTTGGAGCCTTCTATACAGAAGATGCTTTATAATTTATAATTTATAATAACAGAGTTGGAAGGGGACCCTGTAGGTCATCTAGTCCAACCCCCTGCCCAAGCAGGAGACCCTACACCATTTTTGACCAGATGGCAGTCCAGTCTCTTCTTGAAAGTTTCAAGTGGAGAAGCTCCACAACTTCCGAAGGCAACTTCTATTCCATGGGTTGATTGTTCTCACTGTCAGCAAATTCCTCCTTATTTCTAGGTTGACTCTTTCCTTGATCAGTTTGCATCCATGGTTCCTTATCTGCCTTCGGGTGCTTTAGAAAATAGCTTGACCCTCTTCTCTCTGTGGCAGCCCCTCAGATATTGGAAGACTGCTATCATGTCTCCCCTGGTTCTAAGAAAAGCAGAACTTATTTAAAAGTGCCCCTCACTTAAGAAAAAAAACCCCTCCCAGCCCAATCTACTTCTGGAAGCATTTCCTGTGGATAGATACATCAAGTTCTTTATGAACAGTCTCTGCAATTGAAATATTTATGGGTAAGGAGAGGAGAGGCAACTGAGAAAGGGGGAGGCAATCCAATTAGACTAAACTTCTACGTTTTCTCCCCCAGGATGTAATAATAACAACGGCACTCTGCCTGAAAACAATGCTCTTTGATATTTCCACAGCCACGCCCCATTCCCGCCTTCTGTTCTTGGAGAGGCAAGTAGCGGATTCAAAAATTGCCATCCGTACCACGCCATCTGTGTTTATCCAGCCCTTCCATTCTGAATTCTTTTATTTTTCACAATCACATCAAGTTAGTGACGTATAACAATTGGTTGTTTCTCGTTTGCTATACAATTAGGGAAGTTAAAAGGTTTACAGGTAGTTCTCAACTTACGACCATTCCTTTAGAAATGTTCGAAGTTACAACAGCACTGAAAAAAGTGACTTATGATGGTTTTTTTCACACTTACGACTTTTTCAGCATCCCCATGGTCACGTGATCGAAATTCAGATGCTTGGCAACTGAGTCATATTTATGACGGTTGCAGTGTTCCGGGGTCACGTGGTCCCCTTTTGTGACCTTCCTACAAGCTAAGTCGAGGGGGGAAACCAGATTTGCTTAACAGCCGTGTTAGTGACTTAACTGCAGTGAATCGCTTAACAACTGTGCAAAGGAAAGTCATAAAATGGGGGAAAGCTCACTTTACAACTGCCTCACTCAGTAGTGGAAGATCTGGGCTTTCATGTGTTGGACGCCACAGGCCATAGCATTGACTTCAATGGCACCAAAACCCTAGCCACTATAGAAAACCCCAGCCACAGAATTATCAGAGAAGCCATAGAGATTGAAAAGAGACCTGAAAACATGAATAGAAGAGATGATTCCACCAGACTGTCAATTATTTGGAAGCCTGCACTCACAAACAAAAAAATCTCCACACCACAAGCCAGGCAAACACCTGGGCACAAACAGACCCCCCCCCCCGATACCTCCAGCTCAAACACACCCCAACCAGGCACCCAGATGAAACCTAGCTTCCTAATAAAAGATAGCTGTCCTTTTACCTGAAGCCAAGCCACACTAAAAGCCTCCAACACAGGAAACACAATGTTGCCAGCCAATTAAAAAATGCTACAAAACAGACAGAAGATATTAGAAACA